TTTACTATAGTATGAGTGAACTAATCTAATATAACTTTGTTCACAAGGGATTCTCTTAGGCTAAAGTTCGTTGCGATTGACAATAATTTGGTGAAAATGGAGTGATCTGAGTGCTTTGTGAGGTCCAGTACAAAATATGAGTCCAATTTTAACAAGAGTGGCATAGTGTATGAGTAAGGATCTGGATTCAGAGGAAGACTGAAGTGAATAATATAATCATTCTGTGTTGCTTCTTTTCATCACATCATTTACTGATTTAACTGTTTTTACATACAAGTTTCATTGCTTGACCGGTCTGCTGATTATAAATGATTCAATAGATGTCTCTAAACACCTTCCATTTCTTCATCCTACATGATGTGATCTGAAGCCATTAGCAGGATGATGTTAGACTCTGAATTGGCCCTCACATTCTTGTTGGGCGATTACGTGTTCTTAGGCACAAGAATGAACTTCAAGTAGAAAACTATAAACTGGGAACTCTAGATTGTTTAGAGACATCTGCATATTTTTCTTAGTATAACCAGTAATTTACAAGGAGAAAAATAACACATCCTATGAAACAGTGTCCACGTATGCTGGTCCCAAAAATTGCATGGCTGCTCGAGTACTCGGGTGATTTATTTCCGAATATTCACAAGTGATCGGCTAATTTTCAGCGGAACTCATGAAGATGACATGCACATTCAAAACAAGACCCAAACTTGCGCTGAATAACGTAAAACATGAGGTGATATGTCGAGCACTGGTAAATAATAAGAGTTCCTTTTCAACATTGCTTGCAACAAAGTATTTTCCATCGGGCAATAAATGTTGCCCCACCTTGAGCTTTGATCTACACATCAAGAGAAAAGTGTAGCATGCCATTGTCCAGGTATGCACGTTAAATACTTTAAATTTTTTTGTATAAAGATCAATCACACTGAAACCTGCCAAATGAGTCTAAGAGAAATACTTCATGAAGTGTGGAGTAAAAGTGTAGTTTGATGTCGTGCATATTCATTGATCCTCTTTGCAATATGCAAGTTTCTGTAAATATACACCAGATTGGACAATGACCTTTTGTTGCTGTTTGAATACAGATTTGGTTAGGAGTTATCTTGTGATGTACATGATTCTTGGGATTGCACTGATAATGCTTTCTCGACGATATTTTTGACGAGTCTTTCTGGCTTGTTCAAGCTTCAGAATTAGGTGGAATGTTGTGGAATTAGTAAGAATTGTATCAGTTTTATGAGTGAGAGATTCTTGTAGTATCATTCAATGTTATACTTTAGATTTTCAGTTCAGTTACTACTGATCCATAAAGTGTGATTGCAAGTGAAGTTTTCTCATGTTCTTATGACTTGCACCTTCTTGGCACGTTACTTACAATGCAATTTGTGGGCTTCAGATAATTGTATTGTGCTTGTATATCAGACTGCACGGGTAAATTTATCGGGTAATGAAGGATGATGATTTTCAAGCCCCTTGAATCATATGATATTGATAACTGAAAAGTTCGTTATGATTGTCAGTTCAGTGATATCTTCAGCAAGCAGTTATTAAGAATAGTGAGTACAGAATCTGAGAAGCGGTCGGAGAAACTGTTTGATATCCCGAGGGCAAGAAAAGACGGATCTGAAAAGATAAGATATGTTGACCAGCTATAGAGCAGTGTTTCTGTATGTCATGTCCTCACGTCTACAATACATGTCTCATTGACCTTACCCTCGATGTCACCACTAGACACCAATATCTTAGCCTACAGGTAGTTGTTGCGTCTCCTCACATTGTAAATTTCATAAGATGTGCATAAATTCTCCAAATCTGATCCATTTGGCACTCTTATATGTAAGTAGATATCATAGAGGCGGCTGAGAATTTGGCATAAGGTTTAGGATACACCTAACCTCTCTAGTAATTAGAATTATAAACAACTCCATTACGTGATGTCCGAATCAAATGCCCAGATCAAATTCACATCCCCGGAAATGCTGATACGTGATCAAAGGACACGATCAGTCATTACTTCATTCTGTCACCTGCTTTAGGAACGTATGGACGTTCCTAAAGCAGGTGAACTTTGAAGTGTATGAGTCCTTGTTGTGTGACTCATGATTAGGTTTGATGCACCATGTTTTATGAGATGGTAAAAGTGCCCTATAAAAAATAAGCTAGGATTTCTCTTAGTTTATACGGCTTTCGGCCCAGTACTAGATCTAGAAAATGGAAGTAACCCTCAAGGGTTAGAAAGAGAAATCCACACATAACATAATACTAGGCTCCAAGAGCATCACAATGATACAAATTGCACCTAACTTATCAGCATTCAGTATAACCTAACCATGTCAATAATCATAACAAAACATGTTAGAATGATTGATGATGATGTCACTCATCAATTTAAATCAGGAAAGGAAAAAGACATACAACAGACTATACAATAACCTAAAGATATTGACACTTACTCCATAACTAGGTTAGGCTTGTACAAAGGAGAAGATACATAAGCTATACTCATATACCCTCGCTAGAGACCATGGATGCTAACACTTGCCATTCATCTAAAAGATAAGTTATCATACTTTCATACTTTCATACTTCCAACAACTGCATCACATGTGCCATCTTTGACCGTTTTCATTTGGTACTCCTAAACCAATCTAATGTCTGCTATAGTCCTAACTACTGCAAGACATACAAAGGGTCAAAGTATGTGGCATTTTATGTTATCATTTGACCACTACATGGACACCTAGTACACATTTACACATGTTAGTAAATCTATAATTGTACCTACAATCAGAGTAAGTATAGATTAATGAACTAGTGAAATCCAGAGAATACAAATTTAATAATAAAGTTGGAAAATTGCATGATATAACTAAGATAATATGAATATGTAATTATTTAAAAGTTAGAGGCTAAAACAAGCCTATGTAATGAAAAAAATGATAAAATACGATTTAAATATAGAATTCTATGGTAATATATACTACAAAAATCCAGTCGAGTAAATATGCATATTTTAAAAAGACTTAGCTCACGAACTACCTCCAGCCAAAAAAATTTCTCGTGTATATTGAAATATTTGTAGTTCCTAAAGATAGGTGTTTTTCTTTTGAGCTAACTCATTATGTTGGGATTTATAGGCCATAATAAGTTGTTGTCATATCTCCTCTTCCTCTCAGAATATGATGAAGTCATTCAGTAGAATCAAGTAAAGTAGCATCAACCTCCTGGTTCTGAATCTCTCTTTTCTTGTGTGTGGACTCAGTTGTTTTCCTTAGATTGTACGGCAGTGAGCTTCTCATCTTCTAGGACGAAGTTCACTCAAATCATCGTTTCACTGTCTACATCAATGGCCACATCGACGGTTTGCACACTCCTGCTTTGCGAGAGCACTAGTTGTTGCCCCTCGTGAAGTTCCATGACCTCTTCATGAAGGACAACGAATCTCGTGAATAGTTTGAAAATATGGAAGCTAAACACAAGTTCTTTACATTGCCATCTACATTCGATCGTACTTCTCTTTGGTCAGCCTCAAGAATGATTCGGCTTTGCTGGTCACTCGAGCCCTTCACACATCCGAGTTCTCCGATAGAATTGTTATCTCGCGGGTTGGCACCTTACTGTAATTAGCCATCTGATTCGCAAGATACTTGACTTATCTCAGAACCTAAGTTATAGATGATCGTTTAAATACAGAATGAAGAAAGAGCAATTTATATTCAACAGAAAGTCCAGGGCCTTTAGACACAACAGCACCCAAGGTAGAAATGAATTCCAAAGTTGATCTATCACGCAACTTCTGCAATTCTGGAATCTACTTAGACTATTACCTGCGGACATCCAAATGTCAGAGTAGAGTCATATGTCATACATATGTATGGAGACCAGAAGGCCTAAGATCATTAAGTAAGGAGTGTCTTTGATCCATGGCTCCGTTTGGGTCGTTTTCATCTTAGTTGCTGAAGTTTCCTGTAGCCCATCAACGATTTCAAAGTCTTGCATATGCTGCATACTTCAAACCTGAACCTCTTGTCCTTTCATTCCTTAGTCTCCCGGGGGGGCTTACCACAGCTGCCAGCGTTTGGTCACAGGACTTCCCCATCCACAAGGTCAGAACGACACGAGACTCAACTCTTCTACTCAACGTATTGAAACGTACAATGAGAACGGCAGTTAGTAATATGCACAAGTTCAAACTATGAGGCTTTATGTGTTACTGATGAGATCCCAATGGACTGAGAATGTGCACGACAATCGAAAGTGTCAACTGAAGGGACGAAATCTTAGTCTTGAACAAAAAGAAGACGCTTTCAAAATGACAGGTACAGGTTGAGCATGATAAGATGTGGTTGAAAGCTTATGAAATCATAGTTGAGACTGAAAATTGGAAAAGTAAAATGATCATGTGCTGTTCAAAATGATAAAAGGACGAAAGGACAACTTATTACCATGCGAATTGCCTTGTCTTGTTTCAATTTACTCAGCACAGATTGCATCAAAAGATCCTAGTTTCAGTAAGTTGCTACTAAGCCAATCTCATGTAGTTTTGATCCTTGAAAGTCATATGAAACTGGTTTGTGTTGACAGTGTAGTATTTGCACTGCATGTCGAGATTTTTGACTACATAAACCAGACGATTTAGAAATATAATTACTCCTGAAACTAGCCATTGTAACTGACACTTCACATCGGTCACATATTGGTTAATTGTACCGCGCTAAAAACTAACGGGTTTAAGTACCCAGTACGTTAGTTGTTGATTAAGACGGACTATATTTAATATTACTTCGATATCAATTCTTCACTAGGGTCAGTGAAGATATTGTTATTGAGTATAATGTTCTATGGTACTTCACAACCAAAGCTAGCTAGAACTTCACATCGTTGTAGATAGAGGCAAAATAATTCCAAGATGTTCAAGGTTTTGGATTTTTCACTCATATGCTAGTGCAATTTTCTTCATCTGTGAGAAAATGCGTTGCTTGTACCGGAATTGTTCTTTGGTATCAGGGAATATTGTTATTTTAATTCTTGTTCTTAGATTGCCACATAAATGCATAGATAATCTTGATGTTTTCTGCTGCTTAACAAAGTTCGACGCATAGTTGAGAGTGCCGAGAAATTTAATTATCTACGAAACTTTAGTCTCCTTAATAATGTAACCAACGTGGTAATGCTTACATGTAGACAAACTGACATATTTCTCACTCCATGAATCTTCAGACATACTGCGAACCCAAGATGCAGTTTACTCTTGGAAAAATGAGACGGTGGCAGCTTTTGGAATACATGAGTACTACGTTGAAAAGTGCAACGCTTGTATCTCTATTGCAATAATAGGGACACGCTGCTTTTTGCATTATAGCCATATTATGCAGCTCTATTGTGCTGCATAGAATGGCTAGCTCTGTGATATGAAATTAAAGAAGCAAGACTAAAAATTTACAGGGTGAAAAATTTTGTGTTCTTATGTGGATTCCCCAAAGCCTCGCAGTCCCCAACAACGATCATCTTAGATCCTAGAATCCGGATAAATCTGTTGAGCAGCCAAGAGAATCTCCAACTCCCGAGTTCATATTCAGTTCCCGAATATTTGTTTCAACCTTTTCAGATATGAGTAAGATTTCGGGCTTCACAAATTTCTTCCAATGTGATTGCCCTATCCACCATATCTGGATCTGGATATCGCATATTTAGCCTGCTACACCTAGTCTCGAGCACATTTACGTTTTGGTTGAGAATCAGCTTGCAGTGCCGAAAGACAATCTAGCCGTTTATTCTGATACGCTTAAAAATTCCCCTAGTGATGGATACTATCGATAAATAATGATCATCAATCTGATTCAGATCACCGAAAGTTCGCTTACTTAATTCAGAAAAGATTGTCATCGACCTGGTATTAGCCGATCGATGTAAGTTGATGTCAGCATCTTCCAGGTTTTTTGGAGATCTACCAAAATATATTTATTCATACTCTACTTTAAGGATCTTAGTTTAATCATCTTAGGTTCGATACCTGTTCTGACTTCCCTTAGACTAAAAAAGCGTCTAACGACCGCTGTAACTTGCAAAAGCTTTTGTATAGATCGTAGATCTGGCATCCTCCGTGCAGAGTATGTACACCGTCACGAGATGTACACCAAGGCATGAAAGGATGTCATATTTGACTCTGGTAGCAAAGACCACGAGGTCCATCGCATAGAACTAACCAAACTGTCTGGATTCAAGTTATGTTTAAGAGTCTTGGCTACCTCGTGCTCACACCTCCAGTAACAGGTTCAGGTTGTCTCAAGAGGTTCTTTTCAAAATAGAGATATTATCTGCGGCCATGATCTCGGCTGGGCTCTATTGATCTGTCTTAGACTGGGCTGTTGCATGGTCAAGGATGATCTGGAGCGGCATTACATTTCAGTTTTGGCATGCTCATCGTCCCAAATACCATTAAGAAAAGCTTCTGCTTGGGAGGTGCTGACGTTTTGTGGATATTCCCCATCGTGCCCTGTTTCCCTCAAGGGCGTGATGAGAAATACCTGAGGAAGTAAGTGAAATCAGTGTGGAACGAAGTTTTACTATCATACATGGCATATGTGAAGCCCTGGAAGACAGGCTTAGTTTATTTTCTTCTATGCAAGCCAAGGATGAGTAAGGACTCTATCCATAGTTGGCAATGCGCCACGACGGAAATACTCTGGGCCAATCAGTTCGAGCAAATCCTTTGCCTCCCGGTCAAAAATGTGCATTCTTGGCATGTAGGCGGGAGTCACTCCTTCACCTTCAGCTTCAGCTTCAGGGCGAGGCTGTTCAAACCGTTCTGGGTCTACCTCGGTTCCAGCCAGAATGCAGTGCAGTATATGGCCCAAGGCTTGTATATCTTCATGGGGTCCTGAGTAGTCTTGAATGAGGCCGCTTAAGTCATCGATATCGAACCACTGATGATGATTAAAATTAGCGTGAACTCTTACAGCTAATTCTGGTTTGTAGACAGCTAAACCAAAGTCTATGATCTTAGATTCCGTCATGGTATCATCGGTGAATAGAACATTCTCTGAGTGCAAATCCATGTGTATCACGCCATGCTGATGGAGGAAATGAGCTGCTTGTACTATTTGTTTGAAGATTCTTCTCCCGCTTCTGTTGTTGGCGATAGGATAGAAATTTCTGAGACATTTGCGTGCACATAGTTCTAGCACAATGTACACTGTATCAACGCTCATCAGCAAGTCCTTGATATTAATTATATTCCTATGTCGAGGAAGTATTAAGTTCAGAATAACCATTTCTTTGTAGATTATCCTCACATCTTCGAATGGATCAGTCGACGAAGTGGCTACAGCTCCAGGAGCAACGCGTTCGAACTTTTGAACTTTCATGGCGTATCTTCGTCCATTTCTTACTTGCTCAACCTCGTAGGTCTTACCATAGCCACCTTCGCCGAGCACATGAAGACGTCTGTAGTATCTGTTAATTTCTCCGTTACCATTCAGGAATTTCACTCTGATAAAAGCGTGATTGCCTTCACGTTCCCGACCTGCCATTCTGAAAGCAAAAGACGATATTTACGTCTCTATTTCATGAACGTCCTGACGGTCAAGGAGAAATGGGTCTGCTCAGAACATGTTTCTGCTCCAGAACGTTTCTGAATCTTTTAGGGGATCTATGATAGGATTTCCCCACTACAAATGCCAAGAGTGTAGATTGGCACTCGGCTCTCTGCACATTAGCTCGCAATGTGTCGATTGATAGCTGCACCTACCTATAACCCAGGGACTGCGGCACATGTCAGATAAGTTTTGCCAATCAGTTAATGTACCAGGCATGCCATTTATGCAACTGAGATTGAAGATCTAACCATTTACGATGATCGATCGCAGGCGATGTAGTTAAAACCTTCCGGCCTGAAGAATTAGCTTGTCCCTTAATTATTTGTGAGGAGTTCAAACCAGTTAGTGGCTTCAGATTTCATGTAGAACGTGAGTGTACAGAATTCTCACAATGGAAACCATGGAATGCGTTATTATCGATGATCTTTACTTCACATGGTATATATTATATCAAGTGCAATTAAGTTCTAGAAAACCTGGTAAAATTCCGACGAGTTTGTAGTTGAAGACAATTCATTGATGCAATTGATGACCTTCTGTTCCTCATGGTTTCTTACATTATCAGGCCAAAGTGCGACATTCAATCCCTTGCCAATCGGATCCAATTTTTTACAGTGTATTGATTTCTCTACGGGTGCACAATTGGAGGTAATTTTCATGAGTCTCAGACACGATGTCGTCTCCATCGAACCCTGTGAAGAACATCAATCGCTGTAAGAGTACTGTCTGCTCATGATTTTTTCGAGGGGCATGAAGATGAACATGCTGACTGAGGTTGTGAATTCGAGCCACTTATTGACATGCGGAGAAGAAGATATTTCTTCCACCCATCGGAGATTCTGGGTAAGGAGATGACTCTTGTCGGAGGATGATGCATCGAGATCTCCGCAGACAGAATATGTCCAAGGGAGACCCTTTACCTTAAGCGTAGAAGCTGGTTATTTAGTATATATCTAAATATGGGACATAATCATCATCTATCATATCTGAAGCGTTGCCAACCTTTCGCTTGACGCATTCTGTTCAGCCTATTCCTTCTCATTGGACGGCGTATCAGATGCACACAAGCACCTCGATGGTGCAAGATTTGTGTTGAAATCTTCGGCGCAAATCTATATCGTGCGATCAAACCTTCGGGATTTCTGCTAATCTATACTATCAATGGAAGTGGGATATCATAGAAGGAGAAATTATGAGTAGTTAGTTTCGAACCATAGCATCGATAATACTCAATCAAGAGATGTGAGAATGAAGAATGTAATGACTGGAAGTAACCAACCGATACGGACAGTGAAATAAAACTTCAGTTCAAACGCCTGTCTAGGTTTAGGGATTGTAGAGATTAAGGGAAAGAAAGTATCTTTTGATGGGCTTGTTGGGTTTTAATTGAGATGATTGAAGCAACTCTGCACACCGATTCTGGCAAAGCATGCGTTTCTCACTGTCTTCAAAATTATTTTAAAATTAACCTTCCACGTTTGTATCTCAAGATTTACTGAACTTAATTTAAAATATCGAAGTTTCAGAAATTTGTATTGTAGTAAGTTTAAAAAGACGAAATCAGACCCTGAAAGTTTGTAGGCAGAGGCATGAACTAATATCAAGTTCTCTAAATTGCGGTGACATTCATATTTCGATGTTCTTCGCGAATTTCAGAACTATACTTCTGTTCTCTCAGGAAAGCTTCAGTCTCTCATTGTACATACCGCTACTCATTTGCCTGTGGACTGAACCAGAGAAACTTTTTTCGTCCTAGATTTGGTTACAGTTGTAAATCATAAATTTAAGTCTTGAAATTTATAGTTTTTGTATGTATTATTTCCCTAATTTACCGCAAAACTCGTAAATGTTTTTGCCAGCAAGTTCAAACACAAATTTCATTTGCAATACCTTTGTGTGTTCATGTCCTTGTGAGTCTACGGTGACTTTGTTCTGACTTTTCAACTGTATTTCATAAACCTCAGTAAAACATATAGAAGATTTACTTAGATAAAGCTACTTAACACTGCCTTTAACAAGTAAATTGATGATATTTAGGACGTACACTAGTTTAAATATATTGCAAATCGATAAAGTAACATGAGGTGGGAAGTGATGTTGATGTGGAATTATCTGAACGGGCATGTTCTAGCATAGATATTGGTAGTTTGGAATACATCAGTGAAGATTTTTGTTTACCAGCAGAAGTAGCTAATCGTGTAATTAAAACAACTATTTTCTTAATATCTCAGAAAAATCAATAATAGCTTATATTTCTATGGTTATTTATAAAGTTATCCAGAATTCCATTTTATTCCCAACATTCATATTTTTTATATTAACTCTATCAAACTTACTTGAGGATAATGTGAGCAAAATTTATTTTATCTTGTGGAAATTTTCTGTTATCTAAAACACCATTAAAGTCGAACATATGCATGTGAACTCCTTGAATATTTTTCCATGTCATTATTATAACTTAAAAAAATAATTTATATAAAAACCAAATGATTAATTTTAGCATAATAAACTATATTAATTGTGATGAATAACTGATTTATAATAAAAAAATATTACATATATGATCAATCAAGATTTATTGCTATCCTCAAACATTACAAATGTTTAATTTTGATCAACTATCATTATGCATTAAATCATGAGTCAGTTGCTAAATGTATAGTACATGATGAAGTTTTGAAAAATGAGAAATTGCTTGATTTATCCTTCATATTATAGCTTGAATCAAATTTTTTCAATAAGGACTTAATATTGTTAAAATTTTAAGAAAAAAATTTTACATCATTGTAGAATAAGAATAATTTGATAAAGTAAATTATGACATCATTTGAAGATTTTCTGTCATAATGAGTATATTGAAACACCGAGAAAAGTGAGTGCTACAAGTCATCGGCGCTCAAGGCATGGGGTTCAAAGTTTGGGTATTGTTTTCATTGACTCATGTGTCGTTTAAGTCATATAACAGGCACATAAACTCCGCCCAATATATGGAACGACGTTTGCAATTTCCTTGGATGAAGTTCCTCAAGTCCAGACATAAGCATTCACGAGTTAACCTCCTTCAATCATTAGAGCCTTTGATGTATATATCATTTTTAAAGTAAGAGGAAATGTTTCATATTTTGATACTATTGACAATAACGAGATACTAGAAAGTTTGTTTTCATCTCTTTTGTTTTGTGACTCATTGTCTTGCTATGGCTGAAACCCACACGAAGAAAGTAATGCTTTTACCGAGCTCTTTAAGAGACTCCAACTGAGGCCGTCGAGTTTTGACTGCCACTTTGAGACATGTCAGCGTCTCCTGTGGTGGAAAAGCGGATGACAATGATGTGAGGTCAAAAATTCAAATTGTGTGGTCCGTTTGTAAACGGATCACAGTATCACCTCATGATCGTCTTCATTCGACAAGATAGAAGGCGATGGGAGATTGATGATGTCGACTGCACAACAGTTGACTTTTGGAATTCAGCAACAACTCCTCTGGAATGTTAAAAGCCTCACTTTTTTCTATCAAAGAAAACATATGGTTACGTCGTCTTTATACATATCAACACTTCTCCATCGAAGGTGGCATATCACCCAACAAAAAACATCACTTATTAACAAAACTTACAGCCAATATAATGATTATGGAGTTGGGGTTGGGGTGTTCTTTTGTCACTAACAGTTTAATCGTCACATGTAACACTACTTGAGAATGAAGTATATTAAAATGTTTATGTAGATGATAACATAGTCTCACAAAATTTCTCTCATGCGTATTCACATTAATTCAATGCATATCTAAAAAATAGTCTCAAATTCGACAAAATAATTCTGAAACATGATTCACTTTGCGTTGATTTATTCATTGATATATAAATTTGTAAACTATTTATTAGAATGATCAATCTTGACGCTGAGCGATGGAAGATAATGAGGCAAATAATTTCCTTCCTTCCAACATCTTACAGGAGATGGCCGGAGCGTGGAATACCTTGTGACGATTAGCGCATAGTTACATTGGGCTACCTGCTGGATGGATGCCAAGATCTGCACCAGAATCTTCCCTGTTTCGAACTCCACCAAAAATGGGTACCTTATCATTCTGTTGTACTGTAGATTGTAAGCAGTTCTGCCGTCGCTGATGTGAATATCGTCTTGTTTTTTTGTTGTTGGCTGTTTTGGGTCCTTGCTGGTCGTCTGCTTATAAGCATCTGGAGCTGCACTTGAAGACCAAATATATTTATTTGATTCAAGCCACAAACGATGTCAACCCAAAAACTGAATCACCGTATCTGACAGATGCTTGCCGTGGAGCTCCCTGCAAGTTCATCCTGATAAAAAGAATGAGCCCAAAGAGCGAGATGTGGAATTTCCTGTCGAACTTCGACTTATGGACAGCGTAGCGAATCAATTTGTTCACTGTGTTCATCTGCACAGTATCGCTCACATCACATGAACCCTCTGTCGCGTGTCAACGTACAGGTCGTTGAGGTATGCATCCACGGCAGCGTTGATTTACGAGTTACTTTCTCCAGGAAATCCTTACATTTCAGTCAAGCTCACTTTTACGATACTTCAACGGGAAGGATAGGCAGAGGTTCATGTTCGTAGTATGTGGCCATTCATCGGAGGAGGTTTTTGAACGAGACAGTGAACACGTGGACAATTTACAGCCCCTTCTTAATTCAGATTCATACCCCTTCTCTCGAAATCCATTTTGTTCCAGTCTTGAAAACAAGAGTGATTTTTCCTGTTCAGCTCACCATGCAATGGCTTGGATGAATCATGAAAACTGAGAAGACAAAGATCATTGCCCGGCGAAGGAACGGAGGCAATTCCGTTTCGATGATTAAATGAAACCAACAAAAAAACGTCTCCTGGCGATAGTGCAATAGAGCACGACACGAATGGGGAGTTTGTGAAAGGATGCAAGAAGCACCTCTTGTAGCTAGATCCAGTCAAGTTTAGTTTAGTCAAGAATCGACTTGCCGATGCGCACCAGATGGATGAAAACCTGAAATACCGAAACTCGTACTTATGCTATTGAATCAAGAGATAAGCTCCATCAAGCACTTTCACTGTCAAAGCGAAGTCGATTGAGTTTCACAGTTGTACCCGCATGAGTTGAACGGCAAGGAAGCCGTGTGATCTCACCTTGTTCATCAGAATGGAATAAAAAACAAGTGAATTTCCAATACTCGTGTTCACATGTCACCTCTTTGTCATGTGCGGAGTGTGGGTGGGACAGGACGCACGAAGTTCACTGACGGCTGAAATACGGGAGGTGACCTCATTTTGAAATTATGGAAAGCTGCTGTACCTAGAAATTAAGTTCACCGTAAGAATGTGCGTAACCAGCTGGGCAATACCCAAACAAAGTCTCCCTCTAGATTCGAAGATCTAGTACAGAATCCAGAAGAATCATAAGCTTCAGGGATGTAACAAAGCGTTTTTCTACTTACAAATATAGCTACAATTCATACCGAGCGACCTTAAGTTCTAGAGTTGACATGTCTTCAGTCTTTCTGATAACTAGTCGTGGAAACAGAAAGACTTGTTGCGATTACTAGATATGAAATGGAAAAATTTGTATATGATTACTGATATGAAGCAGACAAACTAATTGCGAAATTACTGAGGAGATTTTTTTCAATGTTAAGAAAGTTGGGTGATGTCGATGAGATTTGGAAAGGACGAGGACAGCTGGAGGACGATCCAGAAAGTAGGTGATAATCTAGAAGTTGGAGTTCTAAAGCGAGTCCAAATCTGACACTATCATGTTCATGCAGCTCTCCTCGATGTCATTTTCAACGTGTGCAGAGGATGAAGAGCCGAAATCTGAAGAACGAAATCTTCAGCAAAAGGCTTCTTGACGATCATACAAAATGCCAGACACAGCCTTCATCTTGGTACGATCGGAACACTCTCTCGACTCCATCTGTGGACGAAGATAGTCTCCGAACAAATATGAAGGACTAAGCGCTGTGTCACTGAGCTCTCGGATATCATACATCATCCTTTGTGGTCAAAGTCTGATGGTTTAACGATGTCTTCGGCCTTCTTTTATCTGGTGTCTTAATTCAAGTTTTATTCCTAAGGTTAGTCACAACTACCCTCAATGCTTGAGAAAACTGTCTTGAGGCTGATATATGCTTTAAATAGCTGCTCTGGATGAAAGTATTTGTACTGCATGATCTTACCGAAGTATTCTACTCAATCCATTGATTGGATTGAGTAGAATCCACTTGTTATGAACTAAAGATTGCATATGATTCAACAGAATGAGATTAAATTTAGAACGGATTGGAACAGAAAAGTCAGTGTTTCAAATCAATGTGTCTGGATTGACTTTCTTACTTTTGAGTCATCTGGGATGCCAATAAAGGAACGTTTTATAGGTACAACTCAATTCACAGTCATTGCCATCCATCTGATGACATTTGGATCCCTCCGTTATATTACAATTCATATTCATTGTAAGGAAAGGTCTGGGGGTTCTCCGTGGACCTCCTGTTGCATGAATTTCAGGTCCGAGACATAGGCTCTAGCAAGCAACATGGGAGCAGTAAATTCGATTTTGAGCTCCAATCGGGATTGATCAACTTATTCAAGCAGTGACCTAGCTCCACTTCACTTGAAGCCAGCTTTCTAATTCTGGAATAAGCGAAATCTCACAATCCCGTTAAGAGTTGCAGAAAAGCTAGAACATCGTGTATTTCCGAAAGTAGAAAGAAGCATGGACCACACGTCCATTAGTGTCACATTGCGAGCTCGTATCCCACGTCTTCAGAAAGGCAGGATGTAGACCAAGCTTACATCCTTGATCGGCGTCTTGTTCATGACAGTGCATGTTTCAACAGGATAACTGAACTCAGAGGACCTTCAGAGGATTTAGTGAGTCAATATATGTTGGGAATATCTACATAGAGGGAGGGTGACTTTGCACTTCAAACTCTAAACTAAGCGTTGGATGAAACAGTAATATAATTCATTCTTCTTCAGTCTTCATATTCTACGTTGATAGAAGTTCAAAGACGTTCTAACAATGCTATCGGTTTTAAATTAGAGGATTTATAAACAGGATAATTTCCCGTTTATAAACGTGAAATTATCCCGTTTATCCCAAAAATAACTTTACTTATCATTTAAGCTCGGTAACAATGCGATAAACAGATCAATTCAGTCATGTATATAATAGAGGGATTATCACACACCTTGCAGACCAGATGTGGGCTTTACAGTATTGCTGGTTTTAGTACTAGTTTTTTTATGTTTTTTCTTTAATGTACAGAGGCTGTTCGACAGCAGCCTCAGATTAGATTGGAGACGACGAACTCCAATCCTCGGTGTCCTGCGTAAGATCCTGAGGGGGCCGAAAATCAGTCTGGCTTTTGGCCGGGCCAAACTGATGTGAGGTTGAGTGCTAACTGTTACAAAATCTTTGTGTATATTTTCATGTTTTAGGCAATGCAGATAAGGATAGATGGAGTTGGACCATGTCTCCAACCAATTTTTTGGCCCCACGGAAGTGCCTCCAGGGGGCGGGGCTGGTAACAAGACAGACATTCGTCTGTCTTGGCTGAACTTCCAATTTTCCTAGCAATAGTTTCCATTCGAAATTGGAGCCGTGTTGAGTTGTATTATGTTGAGTAGGGTGCTATTTTCAGGGACAAGATAATTCAACAAGTTATCACTGTAAATTATTTGCGGATACCCAGAGCGTGGGTGACTTCATTTTTACATGGTAGTCAATTGCTCCATGAGCTGAATAATTTTTAGAGCAGCTGTAGACTGGCCCATGGACTTTGAGATTATTCAGTATTCTTTGATAGTGTGCAGTGCTAGTGTGGCCCGAAGTGCAAGCAAAATGTCAATCGATTTGTAAAATTTGGAGTAGCCTATTGGAAAAACACTCAATACTTGATCTGTTTCGAGTAAATCAGACTACAAAGTAGACAGCTTTTGTAAGCAAGTCGGTTTATTAACACCAAGAACGAATGTCCACTTTAAACAATGGAGTTGCTATTAACACTAATCAGCCCAGCAGAGAGAGACACAAGGGCAAGAACTTCCGACTTCGCAGCGGAACACGATAAGGAGGACGGTTGCCTGGCTGGGTAAAGCTGGCTATTATGTAGAATTTTAACACCTGGGCTAAGTGCCTGCACTTTTCTAGAAAGTGAGTGATGTTTATCACTAGTTCTACGTTCACTAGTTCTGTCAATTAATTAGAAGGTACATAAAATTGACAACACATTGTCCGAAACACCACAAATCAGCCCAAAACGAACATGATGGAACGGACTTGGCCCTTGACGAGGAGGCTCTTTCGTGGTTCCCTTCTCGAGTACGTGGGCTGGCTAGCTGGGCGAGAGTGTTGCTAACGTGGTCAACGTGGTCTAGTATGGCCTCTGGCCAACGAAATTACCTGGAGGATTGTAGCTGCACACGGTGATAGTTCCTCCCGTGGGACACCTGGACGATGCACAACCGAGCTTCGTCGTTTTCTTCCAGACAACCTGCAGTCGAGAAACCACTGATTACACACTGCCAGAATTGACAGAAAGTTTTTAGACATACTCTGATCGTGATCAGAGTATGTTCCGAGTCCATGTAACTACAAAGCATTGTGTGGAAGAGGGGATTAGTGTACCTGAGTGTAAATCCGACACGAATTCCTTGTATTTGCTTTGCAGGTGTTCGATGCGTGGTTGTAGTTCTGCTTCTCTTTGACAAAGGCATTAACTGCAGCCAAGGGAGTGCTACTCCGGCTGGACCAGTACATGTTCTCACCGTATGGGCCATTGGAGGTCTTCAGCTGACAGTTGTTACGAGCTTGCTTGTTGGCCCAATTCTGGGCATACTTGGCCAGATTCCGGTCCCACGACAAGTTGGGGACTTTGACAGCCTTACGAGCTTTGTTGTGAGGATCCAAAAACTGTCTCTCCCATGATAGAGCAGCGCTTGCTATGCCTGCAGTGGCAAGCAGAAGGAACAAAACTGCTGTCGAGCTCGAGGCCATCACTGCTATTCTGAAGAATCTGATTCTCCTGCTCTGCTGCTGCTGCTTCTTCTTCTCTTCTCTTCTGATGATTAAAACTGAGGAGGCGATGTTGCCAGTGATCTAAGCTATACCTCTTATATATTGACAAGCAGGCTCCTCAGATCTAGGCCTTTCATGTGAAAATTCAAATGTCTTATTGGTAAGAGAACTGTAGACGAGAAGAGGATCACAAGACTCCAAGACCGGACATCTTGTGCCAGATCGAGCTGTCTTGCAAGGAATTGGCTCGTGTCCGAAATAGGCTCCCCGCGAGAAGTGGGCTTCAGATTCTGGAACGCCGAAGACCGTATGCTGGCGAACTGCAAATCGTGCATACATGGCGAGCGATACCGGAAGTTCAACATTCTCTCCAATATTTTTCTCTAAACGGTTTGCCTCTTCTCGACACCTGCGCTGAGAACAATTTTTGCATCAGACTATCTGCTCATGATCGAATATCTGCATCTGCCGAAGGAAATGACTACTATTGGGCGAATCCTGCCTATTCCATCCACTGCTCTCTAGTTTTCCTGCACGAGGCCGATCAGTCGGCACCTAGCGGCACAGCATTCTCACCGACAAGTGAGTGTACCATGGTGTGGGGTGCTCTGTTCTTCAGATTGGCAATACAGACCGGGCCTAAGTTGATACAAGCCATGACGGTACCGCTGGCGAACATAGAGTAGAAAGCAGCAAGCTGAATATCATGCGCACGAGTACAGAAGAGAATGAGGAGTACGGCTGGCAACTAGTACCTGCTCGTGGTACTAATTGTACTGGTACTCGTCCTTTTCTGATGGTGTACTCTCCTGGACTATGGATATGTGAGCATGATCACTGGGAGGATTTTGCGGGGTTTAATGATCTCGTCTGGATTGTGACTGCTTGACTTAGTCGTCATGTGATGTGCAAGCATTGACTGCCAGAGTCAGAGAACTGGTCATGAAGCTTGAGGGGAAGGAGTTTGGGCGCTGTGAGGAGTAAAATCACTGAATGCGTATGGACCCGGTTGATCTCAGACTTGTGACAGATCGTGAGATGGCGCATCTTCTGATTCAGAGCTGAGTACATAATGAAGTCTTTGACAAGTCTTCGATGGATTGATGAATGGGGATGTGTTAACTCAGTTTTTGTTTTTTGTCGGAATTAAAACATTTTTGAAAGATAAGCACCACTGTAGCAGCTGTAAATAGTAATCGGTACGTGAAAATAGAGTAAAAAGGTAGAATCGCGGGTCTAGGAAAATCTAGGAGTTCTGCGGATTAGGCCGAGGTTGATCGCCTTGGACGGAACGGACGGTTCCTGCTGAGGGGAGCGCCTTTGGCAAAAGTTCCTTTGTTGAGGGGTCTTCGGCTGAAGGGCCTTCGGCACAAGCAGAAGCAAGCGCCTTCGGGTCATACCCCTGCAGAGGAGCTTTCGCTGAAGACGTACGAAGCATGCAACACGGAACGCCTTCGTCAAATGGAAGCGCCTTTGGCGTCGAACGTCACTAGAAGCGCCTTCGGCGGTTGATTCCTTCGCTCTAGCGCCTTCGGCACTAGCGCCGTCTTCGTCGTTAGGTTTCGCCTTCGGCGGAAGGCAATGCTTTCGCCTCTAGGATGTGCCTTCGGCGGAAGAAGAAAGGACAAAGAAAACGGTGGAAGCGTGTACCTTCACCGCGAGCGCCTTCGGCGGTACGCGGACGGAGAACGGCGTCCGCGGAAATCAGCGGAATCAAGATTGAATGTACAAGTGTGGGAGTCCGCGCAACGGCGCAGCGTGAATTCGCGTGTGAGAATCGGACCGTTACGCCTCTGCGCCGGCATAGCATTCAAGCGGGCCGCGGCCAGCTCAAGTGTTGAACAATGAGAAATCTTGATCGCCGAAGGAAGAGACTCACTCTTGCATTTTCAATTTGGCATTCGCTCGAGCTCGCGACGCACAGCAGGAGAATTCGCGGAGATCTTGCAGAGAGTTTGTCGAGAGTGCGTTGCAGGAGAGTGTGTGGGAAATTTGTCGAGAGTGCGTAGCGGCAAGTTCTTGTGGAGAATTGCAGAGAGAGAGATTGCAGCGAGTTCGTTCGAGCACGCGACGCGCAGCAGCCGAGTTCGCAGAGAGTCAGTAGAGACTTTGCAGAGAGTTTGCATGGAGTTCGCGGCAGTAGAGAGCAGGAGTGTGCAGAGACTCTCCAGAATTCAATGGCCAAGTTGATTCAGCTGCGGATGGTTCCACTGAGAGTGCCGTAGATCGGTTTGCACGCATTTCAAGATGAGCTTATGGCAGTGAAGCTCGACTTCCTTCTGTGGGGATGGAATTGGGTGTGCCCGGCGATGGTCTGGGAGTGGCTGCGAGAGAGGAACCAACCTCCGCGAAGTTATCGTCCGCACGCGGAGAGATGGCAAGTTAGCGATTGGGAGCAAGTATTGGGAAGGTGCGCGGGAGAGGAAGTCGACCTCCTGTTCGAGTGCGAGAGTGTGCAGGTCACGAAGGAAGAAGAAATTTCCTTTGGTGCGCTTTTCAAGAATTGTAAGTAGAGCAAGAATGGGTACAAGATCCGTGATTACAAGGACCGCAAGCGGAGGAATGTCGCGGTAGCACTCCTCCAGATTTTACAGCAGAAATGCATAACTTCTTTTCTTGTTGATGCAATTCCAAAATACGGAAAATATCATGGTGTGCTTGGAAATGTTCGTAAAGGGGCCCTGGTATCTATCGCGACAGGGACGATCATAGCTTTTTCTTCGATGAATCTCGAAGCTGGTGGTAAATGGTAATAGATCAAGCACGAGGATCCAAAGGGTTAGAAGGCTGAATAAAACAATATAAGCAAAAACCACAAACAAGTAAAAGAACCCAAAGATTAATCCTAAACTAGTGCCAAGAGCACTAGAACGGTAATTTATAATATTCCTAATATAACAACTTAAATAAAAAAGAACTACCTGTAATAAAGAAGAGACTTTCTCAACATATATATGTTGAGCAAGACAAATGTATTCTTATTTAGTACAAGTAGCAAATACATGCTCTTCATACTAAATGTAACCATCGTCATATAACTTACAAATACGTTCATTTCTATCAATATTAAAACAATGTACTTTCTCAATTCCAAGCCTATGAGATCCAATTCTATGCCTAGCAATAATACAACGTACAGACGCAAAGATTTCTATAAGTAGTTATTATTGTTCACATTAAACGAGCATACGATTCACATGAAGTTGATCAGATATTGATGCCGTGCTTGCTCCAAATAATGTTTAGAAGCTACTACTTTAGACGTTCGCAAAGTGCCATAGATTGCAAGTCCCAATCGCGTTCCGTCACATTCCACCTCAAAGACCAAGTTATCACATCCAAAGAGAGCTGAGGTTGCGACGTTGCCTCGCTGCACTCAGCACTGTTCATTATTCCTTCTGTTAGCGTCGTGCCTTCACCTTACTACAAGCATGTGTCATCCTCATCCGCGTAGGTGCTGGTCTTGTGGTATGCAATTCGCTACATTGATCAACAACTTCTGAAGCCGAAGACGTCTGCAATTTGCTTCGTCGCTTCACAAGTCGTTCTTCAATATTGTCATCAGACATGTCAACTTCGGCCAAAGTCTGCGCAGGTTCAACGTCATCATCAGAACTAACAACCTTGCTTCATCCCAGAAATCCTTTGTACTCTGATCCAACAATTTTACTTTCGAGCGGAAATTTCCGATTCTACTTCTCTATCAACAATCCCATGCCTTGATAGAAATTGATGAAGAACGGAGACAAAGTAATCATCGATCCTGTCTTTGAAATTCTTGTCATTGACATTCCACAAGATACAAGCGGAGTGAATTGACTTCCTCGTCACCGCGCGCTCCACAAATCCTACTTGCCAATACGCCATGTACGTCGTCCGTGAAGGTTTCCAAATTTGCATCAGTGCCACTGCCACATTGAATTTCAGCGTGTCACGATAATCCGTCGTATGTCACCTGTTTTTGGTTGATTGAGGGAACTTGAACAACTCTGCGAATGTCTTTTCTTCTCGCTGTGTCACATTCACGCTCTGGTGATCGTAGAGTAAATTGCATGCCAAACCTGCACACGGCCCCAAGACTTGAGCCCATTGCTCAATTGTCCAACTCTCAGGGTTATAACGAATCCCATTGCCCTCTAGTGTGCAATACTCATATCACTCCTTCACAATCGCCAAAGAAATTCAATTCCAACCCCAGAGCAAGAAATCAAGCTTGACAACTATCAGTTCATTGCAAAATGCTCTCAATCCAAACTCTGAAACTTTTAATGTCTTCAATCGAAGTCACGAAACTCGCATTATCGCTGCGCTCTTAATCGCCCTCTCGCGATCCTCACTGAACTTTCAATTCAAAAATGAAATCTCCCCGATTGTCTGTGCGAAACTCCCATTTATGCTATTTTCTCTTGACGCCCTAACCGCATCGTGAACTCGTGCAAATTGGTTGAATGAAGGCCAAAGTTTCTTCCTGTCGGCGCTGCCTTTTTACTAAGTTGAGGGTCCTTGTGCTTTTAGCGGGAGGTGTCAAAGCCGAAGTTGAAAGACCAAAGGCCCTTTTTTGTCTTCTTCTTATTCATACCAGCCACTTCCTACATTCATAACTCGACGACTCCTAATCCGTCATGAGTTCTTCGGCTCGTTAGAATGAGCATGTTGAGCTTCATCTATCAAGATACTTCCTAAGTCAAGTCGCCACTAAGTGACAAAGTTGTGAGGTATCTACTCTAGCAAATCATAACAACTCTAATTTAACTTTATTGTTTGCAAGTAAAAATAGTAACTCTAGCAGATATATATCTAACATGGATTCCAACTATTTCTAACTAATCATCTGCTACAAAATCCTTAATATATTCTACTTCTAATTACTCTCATTCTAAAAGTGTAAATTTCTATTCATCTACTTTTCAAACTTTATCTTTTCAAAAAAAATGAAAAAATACATTACCACAAAAGACCTCTTATATTCCACATTAAAA